GGAGCGGCTGGTAGTTTCGAACCGCTGACCTTAAGGTTCGCAGCCCGATTCGTAACCACTACGCTACCAGAGCTCCTTATAGGTACATACATATGTATTTTCATTCATGGAGTAATCCCAGTTTATACCTTTGTATTTCAGAGCTATACCTAAAAGAATGCCTTCTTTAAGTGATGCTGTCCTTTCCCTTCCCAAATCCTAGTAAGCATAAATACGGAAAACATAGTAAAGAAATATAAGAGAGAGAAAAGACAAGATCAATTTTATCAAGCAATACATTTATTGAAAAATTGGCTTAAAATAAAGGGATTTATTTTTTAATTCACTCAGAAAATACTGGTAATTGTAATGACAGCAGAAGCTAGCCTTTACTATTTACTGTAATAGTAGGTCATTGAACTAAGGGTATTATATAAACTGAGTCATTTAATCTTCACAAAAACTATGTGAGACAGACACTACTATCTAATTTTACAGGTGAAGAAACTGAGCTTCATAAAGATAAGTAACTTGCACAAGGTTAGCTACTAAATTGCAGAACAGAGAAAATATATCAGTCAATCTGACTCATTCACTAAACATATACTATTTTCTAGTGAAAATGAACATGAAATGACATTTTCAAATAAATTATATATGAGATGAGCATGTCAGTGGTGTAAAATTTTAAAGATACATAACCTGGGCAGGCACTGGTCTCAGCCCTCAAAGTGTACCACACTTCATTCAGGAAGACAAAAGTATACATGACAGAACTAATAATAGTGAAAGTGCTAATAATAATGAATTAGGCCTGTATTTCACTGATCATTGTAAATAATGACACTGATTCCATTATTCTCAAACTGTATTCAGCGATAGAAAACCCTCTTTCCTCAGATCTTCCATAATACCTCATTCAAAATTCTATTTTATGTCTTAAGATGAGATAAAGTCTCATCTGTTCAAAAAATGCTTCCCATTTCTCCATTATAACGAATGAAAAAATAAAATAAAAAGTTGATATCCGAAGTACATGTTTCTCTATATGCCACAGTAAGAAATGTTTTTCTATGACAACTCTTTGACCCTTAAAAACCATGTTCAAGTTATTCTGAAATTAATGCTAAAGAAGAAATCCTATTTTCCAAGAGCTGGTATTTTAAATGCATGCACACACACTACAGCCATACACAAACATAATTCATATCATCATCATATTCCAGGAACTGCCTGGATAACAAACAATATCACCTCTGCATAGCTTAAAATACAAAATATCCAAGGATATCCATGACTATCTAACACTTAAAAGTATAATTTTATATGTTGTTGTTAGGTGCCGTCAAGTCAGTTCCAACTCATAGCGACCCTGTATAGGGTATAGGGTTTCTGAGGAGCAGCTGGTGAGATGGCACTGCTGACCATGCGGTTCAAACTGACCTTACGGTCCAGTGCTTCGACTACAGCACCACATCAGGACTCCATAATTTTATAGAGCCTCCATCAATTTTTTCCATTGCAGAATTTAAAAGAAAACATTGTATAAAAGCCCTAGAAGGAAAACATCTTGAAAGTTATTTCCCAAAATCAACAACAAAAGGATATTTAAACCTGGCATTAAACCCTGCTATAAATAAAGATCTGCTGATTTGTTAATCCTTGTTTCTTAATTTCAATTGAATTATGGTTAAAATTTCAATCCAGAAAACACCCTAGTAAGAATAAAGTAGTTGGTTTGTCAGTTTCTCTTGAGTTGGTTCAAACTCATGGTGAACACATGTGCAGAATAAAATTGTTCCACAGGATTTTCAAGGCTGTTACTTGTCAGAAGCAGATCACCAGGCCTGTTTTCCAAAGTACCTCTGGGTAGGTTTGATCTGCCAACCTACTAGCTAATGGTCAAGCAATTAACTGCTTGCACCTCCCAGGATTTCCAAACAATAAAGTGCAAAATGCATTATTTCAATATTATTCCAATTCTTACCTTTGAATCTTCATTGCTCACTCCTAGTTGCAACACAGCTTGAGGAGATTTCAGTTTTGCTTGAGCAGAGTGTGCCATCTGAAGGTTAAGTTGCCAATCAACGGTCTCCAGCTATAAAAGACAAGTGCAGATTGAAATCAGGTGGTATAGAAGACAGAAAACACGCAACTTCACACAAATTTCCATTCCACAAGAATGAACATAGGTAGCACAGACTTATTAGAAGTCAGTCTCAAAAGCTCCTTCAACCTGCATACTATGTAATATATACCTTTGAACTCATTAGACTGGTCTCTTGCCATGTCTGTCAAACGAAACAGCAAAATTTATTTTTAAATATACCCTACTGGTGTGGCAATGCAGGATAATGCACTGGAGAGAAAGGCTGGACTGAACCACAAGGTGGACAGTTCAAACTCACCAGCTGCTCCTCAGAAACCCTACACAGGGTTGCTCTGAGTTGGAACCAACTCAACGGCACCTAACAACAATTGCATTATAAAAATAAATGTTCTAGAGGGACTTCCGGTTTGCCAGATGGCCAGACAGC